AAACCCTGCCCCCTTGGCAGGCTCCAGCATTTCGCCTGCGTGACAGCCATGGCAGGAAACAGCAGGCCAGCGATTTGGAGTTTCGGGATGGGATGAAGTTAGGTTATAGGGCTGAGGATTTAGGGAATGCATGTTTATACATATGTGCGTGTATATATATATATACACACAAGTAGTTTGGCAAACATAGGGGTCCCCCTGCACTTGACAGAGGAAATGGCAAAATCTAACATATGTGAAGTATTCAAGTGAAATTACACACTTTTTTTCCACTGGCTATAACTAGAAGCAGAACATGACTTTACCGGACCTTGGGGACTTGAGTATCCGTTTTAAAGGTACTGGCGATTTAGGGGTCCTAGACGGGTGCCGGTACTCATAAAGCGTATACTTATTTGGACCCCGGCTGCCTCTACAGGAGCCCTTGAAGCCCCAAGTCTCGGCTTTATAGGTACCTTGCCCTAAATTCTGACACTGATCCCCGTTAGCTGCAGCTTAACAATATTGAATTTCGCTTCTAGTAGGAAGCCACACAACTGCAGGTAGTTGGGGTTCACAACTTCCTTCGCAAGTAGAAAGGCCCTTAATGAGCAGAAGGCGTGGAAACTGAGGCATGATGCGTGCAACACCCGAGCCTGTCAAAAACAAACAAAGTCACAGCCAGTCGCCCACCGCAAGCCCGAAGTATACATCCCAAATGCTGAACCTGAAACGCTGAAGCCCACCTCCAGTCGGATTAGTAAGCAGGTTATACCAAGGGTTATGAGCAAGCCAACCCATATTCGGGGACTGATAAGCTTCCCCATTTGAAGCCTATTTACTACGGGCTAAAAGCCTGCAAGCAAACCCCTAACTCCAAATAACTCGGGGAGGTCAACTTGCCTTCTCCACTCGAGCAAAGATTGAGTCCCAAGGCCGCTACTGGCGAAGAAAGCACGCTCGGTTTAGAGTTTAGGGTCTTGCTGTTGTTGGCTCTTGTCCCCCTTTTCCAAATCGCGCCAGGTGCCTACATACTATAGATCTATGGCTGACCTATAGCTTCAAGTAGCAGCTGTAGAGGTCATAATTGTGAGTTCCGGGGTAAGTATCATCAAGCTGTAGGTTATTGAGGCTACAGAACCAGGTGCCCTATGGTGTGTGTGTGTATATATATATATATATGTATATGGTCCGTCCTTGCTGTAAGAAGTGTATCATCTTTATGCAACCTCCACATTAATTATGTGGAACGTGTACAGATCAGCTATGCGATTTGGCGTCAAGTGCACTGTTGCAGAGGTCATCTGGCGCTTGGTTTCATGACGTCATTTACCAATTTATAAGCTATAGTCTACACTCCTACTATCCCCCTTAATAAGCCCTATAGTAGTCTCCTTTATATAACCCTATGTAGCCCCTGTTTAAGGATTTCCCAGTATAGTTCACATGACCATTAATAAGCAGCTTCCTGAAAAAGTTCATTCCGTCAAGTTATAAATCTGGTGACCGTATTGCGAAGATTTTTGAGCGTCAGCTGGTGTGGAGGCAAGCTGATGTAGAATTGTGGTAGGTGCTGGTTGTGAGAAAGCTCTGCAAATCCAAAGGTTCCGCGTGCTTGCCTGCCCCTAATCTTGACACCCCAAAGAGCGTCTTTCTACAATTCTGGTACGTGATCTAGGGTGTGGGGTTTAGGGATATTGAAAGGGCAATAACGAAGATTCAACTGACGAATGAAATGGAGACCAGGGCGAAACAGTGGTTAGCTAGGAAGTGTCTCTCTCTCTCTCTCTCTCTCTCACTCTCATACTGCAACCCCACCCGCCCAAATATTAGGTTTTCCCGTTGTGGACACTCTTCGTTATTGAGAACTATCAGGCTTGGTGTTTCAACGGCAAGGGACCGAATTATAGGTATGGGGGGTTGTTAAAATGATCTTCCTCGTTGCGGCGGGGGTGTAGAGTATAATGGGCGAGCGGAGTACGGAGCAGTGCCTATGGCCTATGTGGCTAGTTTGAAAGCTTCCTTGAGATTGCCTAAGGTCCCACGTGGACTCCTACTACGGGCCCTCCATATATGAGCCATTGTCTAAACTCCTAGTATCTCCCTTAATAACCACTATAGTAATCCCCTATATAACCCCCTACATAACCCCCCTTTAAGGAGTTTAGACTATAGCTCATATGGGGCCCCTTCCTTGGGGCTCTCTGAAGTTCAGTGTGCAGGATGCTGGAGGTTTAGGGTTTAGGTTAAAATCGGGATAATGGAAAAGAAAATGGAAACTACTATAATGGGTTTACATAGGGATTATATAATAGGGTATATATTGGGGTTCTGCCACTTCTAGCAGGATTGGGCAGCTGCAGGAGGGGCCATTGGAGTTTGCTATATCAATGTAGAGGCCTGAAGAAACATATGATAGCCTCCGTGTTAAGTCCTTGAGGAGTTATAGTGCAACAGAACTCCAAAATGCTACGCTATTTGAATAGGTCCCTGCGCTAGATACTGTACTCTTCCTGGAAGCATTACATCACTTGCAGGACAAGGCTGAAGCACAGTTTCTTGACTCCAACTGCATTCTAGCTGGTAACACGATTTTTCCCCAACATGCCAAGTAATCAATAAACATATACTTCCCAAAGACCTTTTCTACAATTGTTATTCCTCACAACCCAAGTACTCAATTATTGGGTACTTGGATTTCCAAAACTAGGGTCCATTTTGGTACCTCTAAATATTAGGTGCCGTAGTACAATTTATACCCTCCAAGACGGGCATGAATTTTGAGAATAGCCCATGAGGCTTGCGCAGATGATCTCCTCACCAAGGAATTTCGGACGATGGGAACATGGAAAGAGACCTTAACATAATCAATTACTTGCCATCGTCCCCTGTGGTCACTATCCGCGGGTCAGGAATAGGCTGAAGGTATTAAACCTTTAGCCCTAAACCGTCTGTGTAGGCCCCTGGGATATTTGATATTTTCCCCAATGGCTGTAATAGGGGACCATATATACTAATATTTTTCAATGGGTTTTAGGGGCCAACCTAGCCGTGAACATTCAGCTCTTTTGGAGGCCGAATCCTCTCGAGGTGCAAGGTCACTGCTCTGCCGACGTCTCGCAGCCTCTCGGCGCTGTGCAGCTAAGAGGTTGGGTCATGTGGTTGGCTCCCCTAAAGGACCCTGAAGGCCTTAAGGATACATGGGGACGGCAGATGAGCCCTTGTGGCAGTTGATCAAAATGTTCCTGTCATTGCACACATACATGTTCACCGGGTATATGTATGTGCGTGTAAGACTGTTTGTGTGAAGATACACATGTGAACATGAACATAGCATTTCAGGCATATTGTATACACGTATCTCACACACTCTCTCTCTCTCTCTCTCTCTCTCTCCATACACACCAGCATTTACGCCTGCCCTACATGACTGGCCATATGCCCTACAAGCTCTGAACTGCTAGCCAAGATGGCAGCCGTTGGCGCTGTTTTTGCGCGTCCGCGGCGTGCTGCGGCAGCGAAAGCAATGGACTGGCTGATGGATTGGGGTTTTAGAGGATCAGGCTTTTTGGCTGTCTAGCCCCAAGAATTTAGGGGACAAGTAATGTCAGGGGGTGTAGAATACCTGGAACGCCTATCATCCTCAAGGATCCTAAGGCTCACCAAGCTGATTACTAAGCATCTCCAAACGTTTCTGTTTGAGGAATTGTAAAGAGGTTGCAAAGGGATGATTCGCTGAGCTGTATACGGAGGAACCTGCAAGCGCATGTAGATTTTGTAGTTCAAAGGGATTTGTTGGGGACGTTGTTTGGGCTGGTAAACAGACGGCTTAAATTCACGTGTCACTGAATTCCAGAAGTTTGTTTGCATCGGGTTGTGAAGAGCACGGTGCTGCGCATGAGCCTGCACCAGCCGGTATGGAACCCTAAACCCTAAAACCGGGTCACACGGGAGAGAGACAGAGAGACGGGGAGAGCGGGAGAAGCAAAGGTTCCTTGACTTACTGGGGGTGGGAATAAGGGAATAGATGTGGTTACAGAAAGAGGCAATTTCCTGTTTGTTTTTTGTGAGGACATGACAGAAAACAGCAAGCCCAGGTAAGTCCCCAAAAGTCCGGTATTGCTTCGTTCCAGCTTGAGTGATGTAAGAGGAAGGCCGGCCTGGGACATATCCATGACATTGCGGGTTTGATTACGTAAAAAGAGAAACGTGCATTGCATGTTGTAGTGGGGATCCCGAGTTTGTTCCGGACTGGTCATCAGAATCTCGGACCCACCTACTACATGACACCAATGTACTATAGCAGTTTCCATTTTCTTTTCCATTATCCCTATATAACCCTTATGTACTCTATATTTCCATTTTCTTTTCATTATCCCCATATAGCCCTTATATATGCCCTATAATTCCTATGGTTTCCATGTTCTTTTCCATTATGTACCCACTATTGGGGGCCTTATAGCCCCAGGCCAGGGCACTGGGAGGGTCTTGGAATATACTTGCCAGAAACATCAAAAATTTCAGAAATCCTAGCACTCCTCACAGACAGCTAGATAGGGAGAACTGAAAGCTAGGTAGGGAGAACCCTATGCTATAACCAGAGGAACTTTCTATAGCCCCCTGCGAGCAGTGGCATAAATAACACCAGCGCTGCGTAAGTTGCCTAGCAGTGAGTGTGCATGCTTTAGCTATGAGCTCCGTGCAGAAGCCCCAAACTGAATCCCATTTCAGGAGTTTACAGGGGCCACATAGGGCTTAGGGTTTAGGGTTTTAGGGCTTAGGAAGACGCATGGAAAAGACAACGGCAAGTACTAGATGGACCTTACCGGCAGGACGATGAGGTGGTCCAAGTTGTGGATGGTGACACGGCACCTCAGCTTAGAACTGCAGAGTTTTGTCATGGGGTAACCAGTTCCTTACACTGTCAAGTTGTTTTTCTTCCTGCTTTTTCTACGAGTTTATAAGAATAATGTTCTCTCAGTTAGCTCACTTATCAAAATTTCCTACTCATCCTGCCCAGGATGCGTGAATCGGTTCCCTCCCCCGCTGTCGCAATAGGGGCGTGTTACGCCCGAGGAGCCCAACCCATTTTAAAAGGAACATACCGTAATAAATGCTAGGAATCCTAGTATCACTTAGTCCTCATTCTTTCGTTAAAGTGTACTGGGGCCTTTCAGGATATGTCCGCGTTTCGGGATCTCCTCTACTAAGCGCTCAGCAATGTTGATCGGATCCTTGTGATAGGCATACACAAAACGCACTCCTAGCAATGATACAGGTCCCGCACACGGAAGTGGACCGGTACCGGTATGGGAGCGTCCATAAACGGGCGACAGTTATATGGATGCCAACATAGCCCTTAATATGGGGACCGCCATAAAATCACATTTGTTGGAAAGCCCTGTAGGCAGTATCTCTGGTAAGCGAGGATCCCTCAACCCATTATTTTGAACAGTTCAAGGTTGGCCGAGGCAAGTTGGCACCTGCTTATTCTGGCGTATTGTTTTGTGAATATTCTTCACGTTCATTATTATAGACCATAGTTCCTGCATGCTCCCTATAACACCATAAAGCATTTAGTTTATTGTAGGAGCCCCAAGCCTATCCCGGGTCTTTGCCTAGGGGAGTGGTCTATGAACACACACGCTGCAATTTACTTGAGGAGGCCTCTAAAATCAATGGACGCAACCACTCGTTATAGTTGAGTCCAGAACCAAAACCTCTTTAGAATCCCCCAAACATGTTGTTGCCTTTATCCCCCCTCCAATTACCATGCATGGTTCTTACCGCAGCGGGGCATAGTTAGTAAGTGCCATGAGTCTCAGTGCCAGAAGGCCTGACCTACTTTGACCGCGGTTTAGGGTTTAATTAGGGTTCAGGGTTTAGGGTAAAGGATAGTAGAGTCCTCGACGGGGGGTTTGGATTAGGGTTCAGATTTCAGGGTTCCTTACATAAAGGGGTAGTGAGTTCTATGGGCAAGAGTCCCAGCATGCAAATGGCAGGGTTCCAAATCCCAGATACTACCATGCAACAGAATTTGAATCCTTGGAACCAAAAGGCAAGAATGTAGACTTCCTCTTACGTGAGGCTCGGTCGGAAGACACTTTAGGGTTTAGGTTCTGAGTTTTGGGTTTAGGGTTATGAATGAGGCTTTACGATCCCTAATTGGGGTTGGCCTGCTTATAACCCACCTCAACACCTATGTACTGTACTAAGTCCCTTGACCCTCGAAAGTAAGGCAAGCTAGTCATTTTTGCCCTCACATCCTTGGCAGGGGTTTCCATCAGTTAGGGCTCCTCCCTGGAAATTCTTATTGTAAGGTCTGTCTGTAGTATATTGTGGTCTACTGCAGGGTCCTTCTGTCTGTAGTATATTGTGGTCTACTGCAGGGTCCTAAGCCCCAGACCCTAAACCCTATACTCACCCTCTATTAAGGGTTTCAGGCGTGTACCTTTAGGGTTTTGGCGCTGGGTTCTGGGATCCTTTTAAGGGACCCTAGGGGATTACATTGGTTCATATGAGGGCTATATTAAGGCCATATTGGGGAAGCCTCCGGACTATAGTAACCCGAAACCCTAAACCTTAAACCCTAAACCCCTAAACCCTAAACCTTAAACCCCCCTTTGGGGAAACCTTCAGGTCAAGCTGAAGCAGGCCGGTCGTTGTCGTCTCATCGGCGTCAACACGCCGGAGACCGTAGCTCCAAGGTGAGGACTTAAGCTTATTATAGTCCCCCTTAAGTAGATAGAATATGGAAGTTATATTGGGGTAATGGAAAAGAAAATGGAAACTACTATTTAGGGCTTAGGGTTTAGGGTTATAGGCCCCCTTAAGTAGATAGAATATGGCTTTGGATACATTATAACAAAAATCCGCATATAACCCATATTCTATCTACTTAGGACTTAAGTACTATAGGGCTTAGGGTTTCGGGAGGGTTGCAGGAAGGTCTGGTAAGCCTTGCTATACGAGTCCAGTGCCTCATAGTCATAACCTTCCCTAAAACCCATAATGACTTCCCCCTAATAAACCGTTCCCCCCGCCATAATGCTATTCCCCCAGCATGCATTTGTATAACATTGGGCGGGATTTTCTGTGGGAGAGGATTTCTACAGTTCCTATAACCAAAATCCGAATACCGACTTCTTGAGGTACTTTGACCCCTTGGGCTGGATAAATTGCGGGCACCTTCCAAGGTTGAAGGAAGGGCCCAGGCTGGGAGATCGCGGGAAGCTAGGGAACCGCCGCTTTAGATGGGCTTATAGGGTTCCCCAGAGGGTCCAAGTACCCAATAGTTTGCTACCTGGGTTTAGCGCAATAATAACTGTCGTTTAGGTTTTGTGAAGTACATGATTATTGAGTACTTGGACCCCTATTGTTCTAGCGCTACATTGAGAACAAGGTACAAAAATAGAGAAATCAATTTCAAAAGAAGATGGAAATGACATGCAAAGTGGGCTTCTATTGGGGTGTAGAGAGAAAATTGCCGTGATTCATTATATAATCATGGTATAGGTTACCTCAAATAGGCTGACTTATCTCGCTACGCACATCACATTTCCCATGCCCGAGTTTTTAGGCCCCGCAAGCCTGCATAACAAATCGAGCCTCTCGACTGCCCAATCTTTTCACGGGTTTCATGGGAAATTGCGCTTGGAAGATATGACTATAGATTCCAGCGAGTCTTCGTTTTCCTACTTAGGGCCCAGTTGCAGTGGCCTTAGGTCTTAATGTTATTGGCTAGAGACCTCCATTTTGAAGGGTGAATTCTTCTGATGTGCTTGTAAGGCTAGTACAAGGTACTCCCCCCTGCAACTGCCCTATTGGCAACGTGGCAGGCAGCAGGAGGGGGCGCCCCCGGATTGCTATGGACCAGAGGCATCAGCACTGACCAAGGGCCTGCACCTGGGTAGGATTTGGAGGGGGATGTATGGATACAGAGGTGCTTCAGTGGAAGCGGGGCAGGGAATATAGGTACTGTTGTAGCGTTTGTTTGCGGATTTGGGGTGTTTAGGATTCCTGGTTTGGAGTGTAGGGTGCAGAGTTTTGGGGAGTTTTGGAGTGTGGGGGTTGGGAGTTTTTCGGTTGAGTTTTGGATTTGGAGCTGGCATTCCGTGAAAGTGGGCTTAGATTTCGAAAATGGGCCCTCTAATGACATCTCCTCAAATGGGACATACGTTGCAGTCTATGTTTGTCCGCGTAAGAGTACTACCCTAAGCCCAATTGTCATGTTGGAGCTAGGAAAGATCAGTATCTGCTCTTGCTCTTTGGCATTGAACCCTACTATCCTTCTTGCTGTTCCTGTTTCCATGCTTTTTCACATTGCGTTGTTTCACTCTGTGTCATCACCGTGCTGTACATACGACGTGGCGAAATCTTAGGCATCTTGAACTTGCATATGTGTTTTCAGAACAGGTCTCGCGCTACTGTTGCTATCGGAATAACAGTGTTAGACCGAACAAAATGCTGAGGGCACTTGGGCCTCTACATGGACCACCAGCGGAGCTAGAGTCGGATGGAGGGTCTCCAAGGGCTCTGATTTGTGAGGTGTGTAGTGTCTTGGGCAGAGTCTGCTTGGTTAAACAAGCAGACTTTCAAAAGAAAGGATACAGAACTACAGGCAGACCAACAGCATTGCCATCAGGGAGAGTGGTCTTTACGTTTCCTGTGGAGGTGTGTCTGTTTGATATACGGCGTCTCTATCCCACAGACAAGTGGGAGTTTGTCGAAAGGATCCCTATCTAATTCCTGTAAGGACGACTCAGGAATTCCTCTACAATTCCCATCGAATATAGCTTTAGGAACCCTATATATTCCCTATAATCCCTAAAGTTTCCATTTTCCATTAACCCAATATAACCCCAATATAATGACCCCATGTTTGACAGACCCCCAGGACTTAGACCCTAATCCTCACAAACTGAACTCTAAACCCGAACCCTTTGACGGCAGTGGATGGGGCTTTCCAAAAAGTAGGGATCTCCTTTTTGGGACTATAATCAGGATTATGATATCTGGGAGTCTATACTGGAGCTCCCCTAGCTCCCTGTTCATGGAACCTCCATACATGCTTCGAGGGTCAGACTTGGCTGAGGTTGCCGCCAGGAAGCAGGGTGCGTATTGAGTTCGACGTCGAGCCCACTGACACTGGGTTGCTGTTAGAGAAATGAACTTTAGATTTTTTTGCTTTTATCAGGAAGTTGCAGCCCAGGACAAGTACGGCCGTCAGCTGGTGTACCTCTACAGGCCAGGACCAGAAAAATGTTAAAGGGTTGGGGTTTTGGGGTTGCTAGCAGTATTCTTACGATCACTATGTTACTAGCATTGCCGTTTTCCTTATTGCTCTCATTAATCCTATATATTCCTGTCATTGTTGGTGGGTGTTAGGGTTTAGGGTTCATGTTTCTGTGCTACATATGCAGTGTCCTGCATGATTTGAACGCGGCATGGAGCAGGACATGAAGGCATGTCACATTCTGGTGGATGAGAAGATGCTGCACCAGTTAAGATCCCCAACAGATTGTGAATCCCGTGGTGCGGTGTATAGGCCCGAGCCCTAAAACCTGGGTACCTTGGGTGTATGAGCTATAGTCTAAAGTCCTAATATCCCTCTTAATAATGCCTATGATAGCCCCCTATATAACCCTCTCGAAGGAGTTTAGACTCTAGCTCAAAAAGGGTGGTGCAAGGTTTCCTTCATTAATCCTAGGCTGGCACTCCTAGGGCCGCTGTATTCTTATATTGCCCCGAAAAAACCCTATGGGTACACCCCTTGCGTTCCCACGTAAGTAAGGTTATTCAGGTACAGCAAGGGCTAACTATAAGGCTAAGCCAGGAGGAACCTAGGGGAGCAGTATGGGGACCCTTGAGTACTTGTAGGTTCATGGGTGCAATTACCGTACTATGCAACTTCAATCCCAGCGGTTGACGGTTTAGGGTTGAGGGCATGGATCCTTTCACCTGAAAAAGGGAAGCTTGTTGGTATTATAGCTGAGATTGCTACCCCGAGCAAAGAACAGCACCTCACGCAAAGGCCATAGACCGACGAGGTGGGACCCACAATCGCGACACACTGACACACTCCTAGAACGCTCCTGCCGTCCCAAACCTGAGCAAATGGATATACGAGGATTCATGTTACCCTAAGGCTCCCAGTTACCCAAATGGTAGGTTACTGGGCTATGTAACTATAGGGTATATAGAACCCAGTTCCCATTATTTGGGTAACTGGAGCCCTAGGGTTAGGTTGCGTGCCCCGAGGTCCAGGTCATCCTTTAGGAATCTCAAAAAAGTCCCTGGGGAATGATGACAATGTTGCCTAGCAATCATCTAAGCCGGCCTAGCCCAGCAATGCTAAGCCCTATACCACTGAACCCTAAATCCGAACTTTTATGAACCCCAAGTCCAAAATCCTTTATAGATAAAGCCTCGACCTTATAAGCGGCCTAACCATGTGCCAGGGCTACGGATGGCTTATTCATCAACAGCGAGTTGGTGAAGAAAGGGGCTGCAAGGTGCTTCAGTGTAATTTTTCATGTCGCGAAACGGGTGAATCCAAGGTTCAGCAGGGTTGCATCATGTTTCCAGTGGGTAAAAAGCGATTTCATCAGCTTTGTGTAGCAGAGGCTGCTTCATCTTCCAGAGGTTAGGGTTTTAGGGTTTAGGGTTTAGGGTTTATTGGATTTCTTGGAAATGCTGTAATTTGCACTGTGAGGTTTCAGTGAAACAGCAATTTTGTTCGTGGGGCTCGCACATTATGGCGGGCAGCTCTGCTTGTGCAATCTGCTCGTCAGGGAACCAAAAAATCCCCTCCCCTGTTGGTAAATCTCGCGCCACCGCCTGGTAATGTGCGTTCACAATTTGGTACCACGATACAATGCGGGGAGAATGTATTTCTCGGGGTGGGGCTTTAGTATTAGGGGCGGTGACTCCAAAGTTGCTGCACTCTGCGCCCGGATCGATAGGGGTTGCTGATCCCTGCTTCCACCTGCGCTAGGGTTTCATCATGGGTTTTTGCTGGAAGCAAATAGGGTTCCTGAGGAATAGTGGTGAGTGCATGTATTGGCTGTCCAGTCATGAGACCATGAAACACATGGGTCGCCCACAGGGAGTTCTTCAAGTGCAAGTGTTTTTTTTAGAGGTCCTTGTGAAGAAGGGACCATCGGGAATACTTTCCTTAAAAGGGGATCCTAACCAAATAGGGAACCTACATCATGGCCAGTTTGGGGACCTCTATTTTGAACAACTGCCCAGCATCCTCAACTTCTTTTACAGCAATTGTTGGGGGCCCTTTATAGCCTACAGCTTATACTGCACCAGCTGCAAACCCAGAACATAAAACCCTAAACCCTTGTGCGATTTTTTGGCCACGAGCTGCCCGCTCTGAATGAGCTTTGCCCGACTGCTGGACAGAGGGTCAAAAGGGGCGTTTAAAAAGATAATCTAAAAACCTTGCAACTTTTGGTCCACGTGACAGGCGTTTCAAAGTCCCCCCGAACGTGCGTTACGACGACATGCTGGTGAAGCTGGACTGGGGGTAAGGGTATGTGTCACTGGTGGCTAGTAGCTCTTTTAGGTTTAGGGTAGGGCTATATTCAAGAAAGAGGAAGGGATCTCTGCAAAAGCCGCTGTTTTGATGCCCACATGTTGTCCTTGCAGGCTATTCCTTCACTCCCTGCTAGCCACCTCAGGAATTTTCTGGCACGGTTGGACGGTTTGATGTCTCCTGTAGGTACAAGTGTAAGGAGGAAGGCCGGTAGAAGATACTTGCTTGCATGGAGTTCGGAAATACTTATGTCTGGGGATCTACTTATAGTTTAATGTTACATCTACGTAGAGTAGCTTCGAACGACAAGTAATGGAAGCCAAGCCATTTGTAGGAGTCAGATGCACGAAGCACGCGCGTGGGGCTGCGGCTGGGCTGCATAGGTAGAACTCGACATGGTAGCATCGTTCATGGTAGTTGTGAGGAACTGCCCCACGTTGTACCTTGGGTTGTCCCTAATTGGGCATAATGCTCCCGAAATTCAAGATGTGCTCAGCATACAAGGTCTGTCATAGGCAATATTTCAAAGTAGCGGGTGGGGGGGCCGGTGTTTAGTGGGACAGAAACGGACTATTTGCACCCAGTTTGAGTATCTTGTGGTGCTGAAACTTGGTGTTCCTTGGCCCCTGCCCCCACCATATAACGGTCGCAGATAGGTCCCTGGTCAAGGTTGTTTGTTATGTAAGTACAATTACAATATCCGAGTTTGTTATAGGGGAAGGACACTATCCCAAGTAGCCTGTCTGAAGGTGCCTAATAGAAGAGTTTAAGCCCAAAACCCAAAACATGCGAGAAGAGAAAGTGCGTGGGATCCAGGTAAGCTGTCGACCATTTACGGTATCAGTTGGCATAACCTTGTAAAACTGTAGATGATGGGTTAGCGGTAGGGTTCCGGAGTTTAGGGTACGAGTTTCGGTTACCAGTAACCCCAATGCTAGGGGTTCTGTAGAGCTCCTCGTCGGTATTGCTGAGCGGGCATTCTTGAATAGGCTTAGGCTACAAAACAGCGGCGAAATGCAACATGTTGGAGCCATGCAGTGCGCAGAGTAATAACAGGCGCCATGCCGCAGATCCCTGCTTTGGAAGCATGCACTCGGCTTTGCGTGCCAAGGCCAAATGAAATTCCTACATCGAAATGTCTAAAACCTACACCCTGAAGTCTGTACCCGGCATCCTACCTCTCAAGCCCAAGACTGCATAACAGACTGCTGAAGTTGACCTGCTGTGGACATCTGATTTGCACACGTGATGGTGCCGAGCAGCGAGCCACGGTCTTAAGATGAGGTAAGTATATCCCCTATTTTAATGTAGTAGTCTCCATTTTCTTTCCGTTATCCATTATCCTTATATAGCCCCTATAAAACCTAAACTGCAAAACCGAGACTTCTGGGTTTGCCCTGGAGTTGGCCATCTTCCTTTTGATTTTGAGGGTTTGAGAGTGCTTGGCAGCAGCGGCCTGCTTGGTGGAAAGCGATGAAGCACGTTATAGGGTTACCCATTAAGGATAATGGAAAAGAAAATGGAAACGTTATACAGGGTATATATATATACTGTATATGTATCGACGGTGGCTGTCGATGAGTTTGACTGAAACATGGGGACACGCGCAGTGCCTGCAGCACGATGCATGTTTTGAAGCCCTTTACCAAAAAAATGTGGATTTCCTGAAAGAGGGGTACCACTTTGGGGGTCCCTATACTAAGGATTATGGTATTTTGGCTCTATTTAGGGTTCCCCTTTTTAACGGGAAGCTACCGAATTCCTGCAACACCAGAAGGATCCCAACTCCCCCCGCGCTCAGGTGGCAGTCGTGCCCGGCCGGGGCAGTGGCACCCCTGACGGCAAAGCCACTGGTGAATGCCAAGGACTGTATAGCAATTAGGGTTTAGGGTACAGGGTTCAGGGCTTAGGGTTTAAGGTACAGGCTTAGTAGTTGTTTGGGCAGCCCATAAACTTTTGAAAAACCTGAAGGCTCGTATTCGGGGTCTATGGTTTTTGCTGCATAGGGTTTTTGGAAGAGTCTCATAGATCAACCCAAAGATTTGGAGGAGATGACGGCTGTATGCAATGTTTAGTGGAGCTTCAAAAAGCCGTGCGAAAACCTACGAGGACATACTAGAACCTGCAACCCTGTACGCTAAATCCATGTTCAGCCATATTTGGTTTCGCAGGGCCTTAGTAATACCTGTGACCTGGCTTATTGCCCTTGACATGAAACCTCCATACTGGCCTTATATGTATGTTACCCAAGCAGAATATTGGCATAGTATGTTAATTCCAGTTGTAAGTTGCTACTATGGCTCGTGAATTTCGAAGACAGGTTCTCAGATGCCAAGCATGCTCATCGTCTTACAGTCAAATGGTCCCCCTTGCTACTTGTCTTCTGTTGCTCTGAAGTTCCTTTTCTGCGTAGAGCTGAGTTCTGGAGGATGTACATGATTTCCGGATGCAAATTAGCGATGCCCCGCGTTCAAGGTCATTTAAACAGGCCCAGGGCGTGCAGCGACGGCTTCGGTAACTTGGTGGACGCCCGTTTTGTTTGTTGTCCTGCTGGCTGTATTTTGCGCTTGTCTACTGCGGCTTCTGTCTCTACTCAGAAGCAGAGAACTTCATGAGCTGCACTCTGCGCATGAAGAGTGGGAAGATGCTGCCAAAAAAGCTACTGCCACATCAGCGGCTCGTATGGATCCTCTGTGAGAATGCCGGAGCTGCAGCTGCACGTAAACAGACAAACTACAGGTACGAGAGGGAAGTTGTGGCAGCGGACGCGGGAATAGTCGCACGGTGAGCCTCAACAACAGGGGGTCGTTTGTGCTGGTGGTGAATAATGTCGCATCTCTCCAAGCTCTAAACTCTAACCCCCTGTATCAACCACAAGTTGATTTCATGTTCCATGTTCTCTTCCAGGTTCTTTTCCGTTTGATTCTCCATTATTGGGGTAATATCCCTGTACCCTGTGATCTTAGGACTATGGCTCGCTCTCTGTCCTGCATGCAGATGTGGCCGCAGACTAGGATGCAAGACCAGCCAAACTCCAAACCAATGATTCTGGTAGTCCCACAGCAAGCCACGCCGTGCAGGTGCCTTAAACAACCTTCCTAGTGCCATTTGCATCATGATGCCACAGACTCATGGCACTCACGGCGGTCGCATGTGCCCCTTCCTTCTTTGACTATGTGCATTTATGGTGTTTTGTTTGCTCCGCTAGCATCCAGCTCAAGTTGGCATGCTTGAAGGCCACGAAGAAGTTACACAGGAGCAGATGCAAATTGCGCGATGGATGACAGCAGGCTCAAGCCCGTGCTTATATGTATGCATACATTTACGGGTAACTGCGGATGAAGCGAGGCAGAAGCTTATAGACAATCAGGTAGGCTAGCCCATGCGGCCTCGCCACCATGAACCTGGTTCTGCTGTTAGCCGCAGAGGTGGAGGAGATCAACAACACGGGCTTCGTGCTGCTGCCGACTACAGATCGACGAGCAAAGCACATAGCAACTGTCCTAAAGCCAACCTCCGGTGCAACAATCCGCGTAGGCTGCGTGGGAGTGGGCGTTGGCCGCGCCGGTGTTCAGGTTTTGGAGGATGGCCAAGTCTGCCTCAGCGTAGCAGGCAAGAACTCAGAGGCATCTGGCAACCTCAGACTGTCGCCGCTACCTCCCCAACCACACGTCGAGCTGCTTCTGGCCATGCCCCGTCCAAAGGCCCAGAGTGGGGTTGCCGTAGATTCCGGTTCAGGCATGACATCAGCACCCCTTGAGCACAATTGGGAAGAAGGCTTAGCCAAAGAGACACAGCTTTGACGCACATTATTTGTTGATGGTTGTTGCAGTTTGGAACGGGGTCTCTATCAGATTTGCAACAACAGAAAGGTTCGCGCGGATGGCAGCCCTAAACCCTGAGCCCTTGGCCTCAACCCCAAAGCTTGACCCCTAAACCTGTCAAACTTCGGTCAGCCCCCCCTACAGTACCAGTCCTTAAAGGGGCAGCATCAAGGGGCTATTGGAACTCCTGGTATTTCTTGTGGTAGCTGCTACTGTGATTGGGAATGACCTAATGTAAGTCCAAACCCAACTTACGTGGGCTGAATCTTATTGGGACCTCATACACTACAGTGCCATACAGGTTCATTTGGCCATAGCATAGCATCTAAGACAGAGAAACAAGGAGTGTGGTAAACATCCAGTGTCATGGGCAAACTATAGCATTCAGAACCAGCCACCGTAGTCATCGCAATCAGAGCTGCCGCTGACATGAAGTGGATACCCGAAAAGTGCATACGTGGAATCCGTAAGCCCTAAACCCCTGGGTAGGCCCCTAGGATATTTAGTAATTTTCCCTACTGGCTCTAACAGGGGACCATATATACTAATATTTTTCAGTGGGTTTTAGGGGCCAACGTAGACCCAGAGGTTATGATGAGGCTTTGGTCCGTGCTGTCCCAGCTGGGGCTCCGCCGCGTTGTGCTCACCAATGCCTGGCGTGTGGAGACGCAGCTTCAACATCAGAGCCACAGTCTAAACTCCTTGAAGGGAGGTTATATAGGGGATTATATAGGGGACTACTATAGGGGATATTAAGGGGGTGCTAGGAGTTTAGATTATGGCTCATAGCATGAGGGCATTACTGGCAATGGTTGATATTTTCACAATATCACCATGGTAGGGAACCCAGCTTATGCACGCATTCGCCACAATAGCGCTTACAACAAGTCATGTTGAAATGAGGTAAGTCTGCGTTTTGGGCCATGTTGCAGATTAGTCGGGAAACCGCTGTGCACCTTCTAACAGTTCTCACCAATATGGGTCCCTCTTTTGGTATGATTAATTTTGGCTTTATACATTTTTGTGTATGCCCTAAACCTTAATCCTTAAACCCTAACCCAAGCCCTAAGCCCAAAGCCTTATATACAGGCAGACCCATAGGAGGACGTTACAAATTGCAGTGTCTGGGCTGCTGATAAGGAACTTCATTTGAAGTTTCTTAACAGCAACCCAGCTGTAAGGAGAAGCCCTACTTCTCCTCGCAAGCCACGGATCCCAGCAAGTACACGCCAGAGCTGTTTCTGGGCTGTACCAAGGTGAGTTACACTGTTACACGGACCAAGCAAACCTGAAAACGCTTGAGAGTGTATGTGTTTTCTGTGTGCATATCCCCAAGAAGGGGTATACTAGAGCATACTAGGAACATTCACAACGAGGGTGGTGGCGGGGTGTTAGTCTTAGGGGGGAGCTTGTGCATATAGATGCTTAGACGGTCTCACGCGCTCTCCTCACACCGTAGGTGCTTCCCCAACATGGGCGTGCAGGCAAGCTAGACCCGAAGGGAACAGGTTTGGAGGTCCCAAAAACGGTCAGGTTGCAGATTGCAGAAATTATTTGAGACCGTTTGAGACCCAAGGCCGCATGATTTGGGTACCCGGACCATCAGGGAGATACAACATGCACCTTGGGGCTTGTCTTGAAGGCCTCATACTCCCCAACAGAGACATTCAGAAGAAGCCAGGGACACACTTGGGATACCGTTTTCAAGCGCAGTACACAAACAAGTTGCAGCCAATGGAGTGCACAATTATAATTGCTGACAGTCCCAGGGACCACAATCTCCATGATGTCTTGGGTTTTGGGGAACATTCAATATTTGGGCCGGCTTGCTTTGTTTGAATTAGGGGGGACTATCTATGCAGTACTGTGAACATACCACCCTTGAGGTCCCAATTTGGGGCCTTTACCAAGTTAAGCTAGTATTCGTGACTGACAGTCTCTCACCACGGTGCTCGCTCGTGTCTGCTTCAGCTTGACTAGCACGGCCAAAAGGGGCTGGTATTTGTTCGAATCACCTGTCCAAAGTGGTCGCAGGATAAATGTTGTTTCTTGTTAGGATCTCCCCTTTAAGCAAGCGTATGCCAACTGATCACTTCCCTCCCTTCCTTTCGCGGACCTGTAGAACAACCCTCATGTAGCTTCGCACTGCCAAGGCCGAGGCTCAGCTTTAAACAACGAAGCCCGGAGTGTAGTTCTTATACATCTCAGTACCAGACATGCAGTTTGCAGACTTTACATGAAACGTAAGGGTTTAGGGTTTAGGGGGTAAAAATCATGGCAAGCACCTCCCTGCACCCAAAGCAGCAGAACATTTGTTATGTTGCTTTGTGTACAAAAGCGAGTTTGATTTAGGGTGGCAGCCGCGATAAAGCCTATCCAGCAGAATCATGTCTGTTATCCCTGAACCCTCTAAACTCTGAACCCTGAACTCTAAACCCATGGCCTGCCTGAATCCACAGCTTCAACAAGAGCAATGGCAGGAAATAATGGCAAACAAAAGCTACGTGTGGCTAGAATGGAAAGAGGGAATGATCCTAACATAGTAATCCCTGTGTGTTGCTTGAAAATATAGTTGTTTCCGTTTTTTTCTTTTCTTTTCATTTACTACCCTGAGCAGAACCTTCAATCATGTTTTCAAGGTTTGAAGTATGGGCTCGCAGTAGGGTCATTAATTTCTAGTTACCCTTACATATTTTTTGTATATCATATAAAACCCTAGAAGCCCGCTGAAGGGCCCACAATTAGGACGCAGCAAGCAGGTAAGGGCCCGTGGTTAGGACCTTAAACCCTAAACCCTCTAAATGGTTAATTCCCCAAATGAGGGTCCCATCTTGGAACCCCGAAAATACTATAATCTATAACCCATCATTTTTAAGAACAACCCAAATCATGTTGTTCCATCCAGGCTCGAGGGGCTTGAGCAGGCCGTCTGCACCACACTGCCTGAGGTTCAGATCGAGCACCTAAGCCAGAGATTTGTACGGGTAGGGATGTACAGGGATATTGAGGGAAAATCGAGGTATACAGAGAAAATTGTGGATATGTAGGGGTTATATGGGGATATGTAGGGGATATGAATGTAATCCGTGTTGGGTTCTGATGATGTGCTGTCAGCAGCCCTAAACCTAGCAGGTCTATAAGATCCTATATAACCCTATATAACCCTATATAACCTTATATAATCCTATATATCCCTATATATCCCTATACCCCTATAACCTATATATCCTTATATGCCGTAGGAAATAGAATGCCTCAGCATCCCCAGCCACCAAAGCCACCAAGTCCTTTAGGGGGGGGGGGGGAAAGGGTAGGGGAGAGGTTAGGGTTTTGGGTTGGGGGTTTAGGGTTTGGGGTTTAGGGTTTAGGGTTTAGGACCCTAAACTCTGAACCTAAGCCTCAAACCCGAGCCAAAGAAGCATCTCAAGCCCCCAACCCTACATAGACAATTCCTATTAGAATTTTGGGTTATATTGGGTTCTATGGAAATTGTTTGGGGGTTATGTGGGATGATCTAATGTCTGTAGGGCCGAGAACACTGTAAACCTCAACCCTAAACCCTTAAATCCCCAAATCCTAAAACCTAAACCCCTGAATCCCTAAATCCTAAACCCCTAATCCCTAAATCCCTAAACTCTAAATCCCTAAATCCTAAACCCCTAAATCCCTAAACCCCTAAACCCTAAACCCCTTAACCCTAAAACCCCTAAGCCCCTAAACCCTAAACCCCTAAACCCTAATCCCTAAACCCTGAACCCTAAATCCCTGGAATTCCAAAGCTCAAGCCGAGGCTGAGGCTGAAACCCTTCATAGAGGACTCCCTGAAAATCCTGAATAAGAGGACTTAGGGTTTAGGGGTTTAGGGGTTTAGAGTTTAGGGGCTTAGGGGCTTAGAGTTTAGTGTTTAGGGTTAAGGGCTTAGGACCTAGAGTTTAGGGGTTGAGGGATTTGGGACTGAGGGCTTAGGATTTAGGATTTACGGCTCAGGATCTAGGGCCTAGGGCTTAGGATTTAGGGTTAGTGGTTGAGGGATTTAGGTTTTAGGGATTTAGGGCTTAGGATTCAGGGTTTAAAGTTTAGGGGTTGAGGGGTTTAGGTTATAGGGCTTTAGGGCTTGGGATGTAGGGCTTAGGATTTGCGGTTTAGTGGTTTCGGGATTTAAATTGTAAGGGATTAGAGCTTGGGGTCTAGGGTTTGGTTTTAGGCTTTAGGGCTTGGGGTTTATGGGTTTTGGATTTTGGATGTAGCTTTTTTTGGGTTTAGGATTTAGGGCTTGGGGTCTAGGGTTTTGGTTTGGGATTTAGGGCTTGGGGTCTAGGGTTTTGGTTTAGGATTTAGGACGTGGGGTCTAGGGTTTTGGCCAAGGATCTACAGCTTGCAGTTTAAGGGTTTTGGATTTTGGCTTCAAGATTTTGGCTTTAGGGTTCAGGATTTAGGGCTTAGGGCTTAGGGTAGTCAATTTAGGGTTTTGGGTTTAGGTTTTAGGGTTTTGGTTTTGGGGTTTTGGATGTAGGATTTAGGCTTTAGGGTTTTGGGCGTAGGGTTGAGGATTTGGTAACCCCAACCCCTACCATAAGGGCGCCATGATTAACGCATGGTTCGTATAGGGTTCCAATTTGGGGGGTCGAGGTTGACAAAATTATCTTTTCATTAAACCCTAACCCTCACAAGTCCTGGACCTTAAACCTGGCTTCTATTTCATTTTCCACTGTCTTTTCCACTTGATTCTCTGCTACCCTAATTGTCAGGAGCCCCAACCCCTGCACATACATCCAGTTTCCAGGACTCGCCTGAACCCTACCTAAGGTAACCTATATACGTACAAAGAAGGGCTTTGTACCTAATATGTTGGTATCTCTACCTAAACCCTAAACCCTAAGATTACTCTAGGTAAGCTCTAAGCTGGAGGCCCTTGAGCCGCAAACCCTGCACCCCTCCAAACCCTAAAGCCAAAGCCCTATACCTCAGCTGGACTTCCAAAATACATAGAAGAACGACCCTTACCGCCAAAAATACACATGTGAGCATAGGCTATGTTTCTAGTATGTGGGCGGTCCAGGTATAACCCTACAACCCTATACACCCCAAAACCCTAAACCTTAGGTCCTAAACCCTAACCCCTATAACTCCAATTAAAAGGACTACGATGCTCCCGGTCAATGATGGTAAATGATGCCTGCTCGGCCCGAAGCCCTAAGCCCCAAACCCAGAGGATTCCCTGGAGACCCTCTTCCCCGCACCTCGCTTTCTTCGCTTGCTTTGCCACCCAGGCGATGCTGGGGCTCCCCGGCTCAGGATTTAGGGGTTGAAGTTAGTGATGTGAGCTATAGTCTACACTCCTTAAGGGGGGTTATATAGGGGATTATATAGGGAACTACTATAGGGCTTACTAAGGGGGATACTAGGAGTTTAGACTATAGCTCATGTGGGGTTTCCCAAATGTAGGGATACCTTTATAGGGCTCCCTGTAAGAAGGATTATCGTATCTTGGCTTTGATATTGTGGTGCCCATGCTCTTTCTTAGGGGTGTATAGAAGAGTTACGTGTAGCGATATCTGTTCGGGGCCGTGTAGGGTTTCCAGGAACCCCTAAACCCTAAACCCTATAGAGAAGTGGATTGGCCTGGAAAATAGAGGCCGAGATACACCAGCTATAGGCACTGGGCGCGGAAAGACAACCAAAACAAAAGAAACGCGACACTCACTTACGACGCGTATCACGATGGCGGGGGCGCGACTGCTCGCGTTCGGGCTTGGCCGCAGATTTGGGCCGAGTTTGCTGAGGAGCAGAACCCTGACGATTACGCTTCTTCTTCGAATCAGCCAGGCTAAGGGGGATCCATGCCTGGATTTGGCCCCCCGGCAGTTTTGAAGCCGGCGAAATATGCTGTTTGAACAGCGTGTGAGCACGGAACGCACTCAAACAGGGCCGAAAACAAATATCAAACAGTTGTGCCTCGGCGAGAGACCCGCCAACCGGAAAAACGCCGACTATATCGCCAGGCTGATTACATGTCGGGAATAATTCAGCTTGCATCGTGTTGAGCCTCTCAGACATCACCGAATCCCCCAGTGCAGGCCGAATGTCATCCCATAGCAAGGAGCCAAGATTTTCCTTGACATGCCAAAGCTCTTTACCTGGCGCCAGCTCCGCTGCCTTTGCCTGCAACCCCTTGCACGCTGCACACGGATCCTAAGGATGGCTGCCAATCGCTAAACTGGAGCTCCAGGCACTCCAAACGGCCCTTTCCTGACGGCGTGGGCGACATGGGCAGGAGTGGCGCGGAAGGGGGGCGTGCGAACACGAGTGCTGCGCGTTTGAGCGCTAAACGCAAAGTAGGGAAAAAAACCATCAACAGGCACATGTTGCTTGTAGTTGTGTGCGAGCCTTACTGAACCTTACGGGCATGTCCTCATCCAATTGCCAAGATCAAGGCGATGACCCTTAGCATGGAGTATGCCCCCCAAGGATGAAGAGATCCCTCAACTCTAAACTTGGGCGGGAGTTTCCACAAACACGGGCCCCCCTCATACATTCCAAAACACTATACTTCTCACAATCCTCATAATAGCGCTCCTCAGGCAGGGAAGCATTTCCCTGCAAGATGATCCTTTTGTAGAGGCAGCGCAGGCTATTAGGCTTTAGGGCGTGGACCTCAGCAAGCCTGCAGCAAAAAAGGGCTTATGGATGTAGAAGCCAATGCCAATGTCCTCTTATATGAGACATTCCCAGACACAGACAGTACACGCATACATACGTACCTACATACATACATACATACATACATACATACGTACATACATACGTACGTACATACCTACATGCATGCATGCATGCATGCATGCATGCATGCATGCATGCATACATACACACATACACACACATACATACATACGTGCATGCATACATACATACACACACATACATACATACATACATACATACATACATACATGCATACATACATGCATACGTACATACATACATGCATACGTACATACATGCATGCATGCATGCATACATACAGTTGTTACAAATATGCATACATACACACATACCTACATACATACGTACATACATACATGCATACGTACATACTTGTTTACTTACTTACTTACTTACTTACTTGCACAGATAGTTACGTACACAAATGCAGACATGCCGACCTACCTACCTACATACATACACATACATACATGCATACGTACATACTTACTTACATAGACAGTTACATACGCAAACACGTACATGCCTACCTACATATGTACATGCATGCAAAAATACCTAGATGCCTACATGCGTACGCTCATGCCTACAAGCATACACATACGCACACAGATATATATATATATACACACACACAAACTGTGGGAACGTTTAAAATAGGAGGGGAAGTTTGAATATGGGTGGGAGGGGATGAATGTGGTTCCCAGAGAACCTTGTGAAAGTTTACAATCAGGGTATTAAGGGAATACGGCATATCCCCTGAACAGTCTCTCTGCCTCACGCACACACACACATACACGTAGTCCAGTTGAGCAGATTGCCCACAGCTCAGTTGCAGAATAAAGTTGTATGGCCACATGAAACCACATCCACATCCTGGTTACGTCGGCCCCCTAAATTCTCTGTAACCCCATCCACCATGAATAGCAAGAACCAGGTTCTTGACCTATGAAGCGGGTAGTCCTCCGCACTTGCTTTCTAAGCTCCAGATCTCAAGCCTCTGCGGTAAACGTTGGAGAAGGTTCAGGCCAAGACCCTCAGTGCCTTAGAAGCTTCTGAGTATGAGCGGACACGTAGAATACCCCAGGCAAAAACAGCAGCATTGCTTCAAGAGCTGAACATGCTCAGCATGTAATGGGTGACAGGACAGGTTAGGTGTAGTTTATGTGTAGTAGTATGAGGGCAGGTTTTCTTAAAAACCCATCTAGGCAAGCCATCCTTCTCCGAGGTTCCTATCAGCGAAGCGATTTGCCGTGCACAGGCGCAGAGTGCGCCACCGCAAGCGGTGCTACTGGCAGCACCGTGGGTGCAAGGTTTTTTTGGTTTGAGGACCCGGGGCTTGGGGAAGCGATAGGGGTTTGAGGATGCATGTTTAGAGTTTCAAGCTTTGGGAATGAACAGCCTTGCGCGAGGGTCGTGTGCTAGAAGCTGCGAACGTCATGGAGAACGGAGAACGTTGCTTATGAAGCTTCAGGTCCTGTACGCACAAGCTAAACATGAAGTCCAGGTGGGCCCCGAAGGGGGCTGGGTCGATTATGAGGTGGAGCTGTTCCGGAAGCATGGCTTCACACAGGCACGTGTGCGAATCAGTCGTCCTTTTTTGCAAGTCTTCAGGAGGGCCTAATGGGCTGGGCTGAGGAGGGAGGTTCTGCTCACGCTGCCACCGCTCTTTCCTACCGCCACCACCACCACCGCCACCGCCACCGCCACCGCCAGGGCCACCGCCGCCGCCGCCGCCACCACCACCACCGCCACCGCCACCGCCACCGCCTCCGTCGCAGCACCGCGTGACGACAACGCCGAAAACAGCTGCAGCAGCAGCGCCAGTAGCAGCAGCGGCAACGCTAGCGACAACGGCAACAGAACAAACAACGGCAATACATAGTTAAGGTTACTCGTCATAGTCATAGCATGACCGTCATCATGAAATAGTCAGGCTTGGCGCCCCCCTAAGTCATGGCCCAGGTCTCTCTCGGCAGCCGCATCCTCACCACTGACGTGGCCTTGGTTTCTCTGGTGGCATTGACGCGGGACGCCTTGGAGCGGAGTACCGAGAAGAAGGCGGTCAAGGGATGATGACTATTCGTTCAGCGAGTATGATGTTCTAAGTTCTCATTCCATGATACCCGGGCCAGATGTTGTGGCCCATGCTGACAAATTAAAGTCCGTGAGCTTATGAGGGACTACAGTATGTGACTAGGCGGATGGCACGCTCTTTTTGCCCAAGCAGCTGTAAGTTCAACAGCGACATCACTTTGTACTGTAGTTAAGCGGCTGTCCCAGGCAAGTAGACCACGAGTCCATTCAACCGGCTCATCCTCGATGCAAACAGGTTTCCCTTCCGTTGCAAGCTTGGTGTGCCATTCTGCCCGCCGCGCGCAACTGCATAGGAGCTAGTTCATTACGGAATTGGCAAGCATAGTAGGATTATGTTGCAGTTTTCCAAACTTCCCAACTGAGAGGCCAGTAGCCCACCTGCAGCCTCAGTCATGAACATCCCACCCTCAAGCCCAGACAAGGAAACGGTCCTTCAAGCATGCCGACAGGTGTCCTGGAAAGCTGCGGATGTGCTGGCAAGACTGGTGCCCTGCTGTTAGCTTCCAAGCTCGCAGGTGCAAAAAGCTTTCGCGAGTTGGCGGATCCATCATGTTCACGAGTCTGGCTGAGTCCTAATGATCAGGCTTAGCCCTGGCAGCCTTATGCAAGTTGAACCTTCATCCGATCTCCACGTCTGGAGAGGAATGCAATGGTCAGGTGTAGCTGCATGTATCTCTTGCCAGGTCCAAACTGTCAGCGCTCTCAAGTTTCAAGTCTTTCGTACAGTGTCTGGTATCCATCATCCCAAAAACACCGTCTGTTCAGACTGCCCTTGCGAGTATTCACCACAGGAGTTGCGGAAGACCACTTGCAAGGACTTCTCCACGTACCAGGAGGCGAAGGTCCCTACCCCTGGACTGCATGCGGTTCGGGTTCAAGGGTAAGGTGGCCCCGAAGGCACAAACGGATCTCGGAAACGAGAACTCTCCGTTTCCATGTTAGCGGCGCCCAGTGGTATCTTGAGGTCTGTCTGTGCATCGGCAGTAAAAGCCCCAAAGCAAATGCCTTGAGCAGTTAACCCTAGACTTGAGAAATAGCCTTTGTAACTCAGCGGTTCACCTTCTCTTTGGAGCATGGGTTCAAGCCCTACCTCCCCCTTTTCGCCCTTCTACTACTCCCTCTCAGATTCGCCCTGAGTCACCTATCTTCAAATGGCCCCAAGTGTAGGGCGGGCTTGTAAGGGGACAGGATTCAAGTTCAGGCCTGGTACGACAGATATTTCCCGCAGTTCGGGGACGTGGCTGGCCTGGATGGCGACAAAGACGGCAAGCCATGTGAGAAGCTACTGAAAAGCAAGTAATGCAGAAGCCTGAATACACAGAGGGTCCAAGTAGTTAAGCCCCTTAAAGGGGAACATATAGGGTATAGAGTTGAGGGTCCAAGTACCCAAGAATTAGGTACTTGGGCTTTGGGTAATAATAATTATAGGGCCCCATGTTTTTTTTAACCCCCCACCCTTT